AAAAAAAAAAAAAAACAATTGCCGAACGGCAGGCTTTACCCTACCGACTGTCTGAAAAGACGTAGGAATCCTCCTCTCCACGATCACTCCCGGTGCCGATTCCCAATCACCGGACACAATCACTCGACGCTTACGCCACGTCTTTTGGGAGCTCGGCACCCCAACCACAAAGTGTCCACGCTGCCCTGCCGATAGACAATTGGACTGCACCCACCCCCCATTATCAGCACTCTTTGCTCTCGTCACACTATACAGTTGGGCAAACTGTTCGTAGCTCGGCTCCCCCTCTCCAGCCAAGCTGAACGCTGTGATCTTCCCGAGTAACGTAATCCAAAAGTTTGGATTGTACTGCCCTGGTGCATACCCGATCGCAGCCAAAATCTTTTGCACCGAATGTCTCAACGGTAGCCGAAGCCCATGCTTAAACACGTCGGTGAAAAAGCACCGCCCTTGTCATTATCACTGAGCGACTCTAAGGGCCTCGGAATTCGCATCCCTACCGATTCCGGAATATTGAACTCCGCCCGAATCTTCGCCAACTCAGCCTCAGTCAGCGTGTTCGGCTCTAAATCATTTACTCCGGACAAAGGTTCCGTGGGCTTCGCCATCGGAATCCGTTGCCTCCCCCTGACAACCCTCAACACCCCTTCCCCTGGGACGGCAACGGACACGCCACCCCCATCGGCCTCACGACCCGAAGTCGAAGGCTCACCATCTTCAGGCACTCTCGTCGAAGTGCCCCCAGCCTCGGCACGCACTCTTGCCCCCTCCACTATCTCACAGTTTGAAGAGCTCCCAGAATCGGTACTCTCACTCCCCTCGGACGAACTCCCCAAGGACGATTCGTCCTCATAGGCCCTCGGACTACGCCCACTCTCGGATTCGGTATCGGACATCTACAAACACAAACGAAGGGAAACTAAGTGCTATGCTAGAATCAAAATCTTGTTCTACCTCCTAAACACTCATGTTCATACTTGTTCATGCTTGTTCATACATTGTTCAAACAAACAATCAACGAATTCAACACTTTGATTCATACAAATGCCAAAACACGGCAACATACCTTGTTTGCACGGTGGTTCAAGTTCGCCGGAAATCGC